ATAATATGCACTTGTAGCGACAGCTGTAAAACAATTATTATTATTATGGTAAGGCCTGTTTATTATAATATTTTTTTTTTTTTTTGTAATAGGCGGTTCGACGGTGGCACTTGTGCAGTGTGCTTGGACGGATGTCGTGTAGCGTTTGCCATCATCACTCATCTGCATTGTCCTATAGAAGAGCATAGTCCTATCTATAGCATTTGTGTACATATATTATAGACATTTTTTTATTATTCTATTATCATATTATGCTATCGCTTAGGTTTTCTCGGTTTTTAACACACGCTCAATATGCAGTATTATTATAATTTCTATACTTTTCTTACGGGGTTCGTTCAACCGCTGTGCTAAGAGGATGGCCACACATGCATTTTTATAATGGTATACAAAAAAATATCAAGTCGGCTTTGTCTGTACAGCTCTTCGAAAAATCGTCTGACTCAAATTTGACAAAGAAGGACTGTTACTGGAGAACTGGAAATGGTCTTAAAAGTTTAGTCTTGACCCGAAAATAATAAGTAAGTTAGGTTAGAACCGTAGCTTGGTCGTTAGAAGTTTTGACACTAAAATATTGTAACCAATTTGTTTTATAAAAGTTTAAATAATAGTAGTATTGTTTACAATAATACTTACCTTTAACACTTTTTGCTCCGACTGTACTCTCACATGCTTGCTAAACACAGCTGATAAATAGCAACACTACATAACGGACTTTGTTTGATCCGACAGGGTAGCCAACCGAGAGAAACAAAATATCCCATCCAGAGTCCTAAATACTGAACTGATAATTACACATCACAGATGAACCTTTAAGTTGAGATTTTGTAAAAATTTGCTTACACTTAACTTCTTAAGCAAATTGGCGGAGTGGAGTCCTCTGTTAATGTATTTTTTTTTTATATTTTTTATTTGTTTACTATATTATCATCCGCCTCGAGGCTTCGGCGGCCGGCACACGAACCGTTCTCGTGCCAAATGCAAATGAATCTTATAGAATAATATTATATATTGTATAGATAGATTCCAAACACAATAGGTATCCACAACATAGGAACTCGGAACGTTTGTGATTGATATGCAACTAATGACAGCTTAAGCCGCTTTTGGAAAAGAAATAACAAACCATTCAAACGTCGGCGTTCGACTTAGACTCGTTTAACAATCGTTCCTCGGGCTAAAACGTGATGATCCAGGCAGTGTTCCTATATAATAAGGATATATATGTTTATATTTATAAGATATCTATCCAAATATAAAACATGTTTGTGAAACTCCTCTTTGTAGGTAAATCGGAATCGGAAACGCCGGCCAACGTTGACATACACCGTCATGGTACTATTATTATGAATTATAAATTTGCTTAAAAGCCTCGCCATAGGGTGATTTTAAAGAAATTATTTTCTACTTAGACTACACTAATCTGTTTGTGTGGAGTTAAATTTGTTCAGTGTCATACTACGACAGGTTCAAAAGTCGCCAGACAATACTGTTGTACTTGGTATAGGTAAGTCCGTGCCGAACGGGGTTACATCAAACGTGTACAGAGTAGGTAATAATATGTACCTAAAGCTGTTTTTAAACAAAGAAGATACTTACTTTCCACCGGACCAAAAGGAATGCCGTGCCACGCGGTCATTTAGATATGTAGCCCTCCCGGAGCGACTAAAAAAAAAAAACGCTTTCGATGGTCATTATTTAATAAACACAAATAGTCATGTTATTATTCTCATTATTTCTTTCGGTGCGGAAGAAATTCGAACAAGTCCTGCAGAGATAAAAAGACAAAGAACGTATTATGAACGTCACAAAGTCGTTTAACAAAATTAGGGAAAAAACCCTACTAAGACTTGCTAAGATTGTTCATTCAGGGCTCGAAAATAAGTCAATGTTTTCACAAATTCGCCTCTTTTCTATTACCACAGCTACGTAGTCTGTACGCTGTTATAAGGAAATATTAAACGTGTCACACAATAATAAAGGGATACTACCTACTACGCCATAAAGTACCAAGATAAAAAAAAGAATTTTCTGAGAGAACATCTGTTTTTTTTAATATTAAACGAGCCTTGATTGCTAGGCCGTCGGCTATAAGTTATAGCTTTAGTTAATTTATATAATTAGGCAAAAACAGATTTATTTAAATTGAATCGAAATCAACTTGTGTTTTCCTCTAATAACTAAACCTTATAGAAAAAGTTATCAAAGATATGTATCTCTTATCACTGAACTCTTATCATTAATCTCTTATCTCTTATCATTGATTTCTTATCAGATATCACTAACTGGAAGTGAAAATGCCGACATGAAATCACTAAAAAAAACCGCCATGTTAAAACTCGGTAAATTCTACAGTTCTTTTAAAATATTAAACGGACTCAGACCTTGCAAACTATGTGGTGAATAATTAATACAAGCCACCACTCGCACAAGTGAACGATTCGATCACTTAGACCACAACTTTACCGTGTCAAAGCATGTACCGGATACTACTTTTTTTAACCGTATAATATCTACACCGACGGCCGTTTACGTGGATAATTATTATTCACTATAAATATTAAAATATGTAATATTTAACGGCCTTAGAAAGCGATAATACCCGATTTATCACTCTCAGACTTGTAAAGTGCGGGGCGACCAGAGGCCGAAGTTATCCACATGGGATTCACTATGTTATTGTCACGTGCATTGTATAGAAATTGGAATGTCAAGTATTGTTACTGTAGCAGGTATTTCCGTAGCCCTCGTGAGCACAGATAGATCATATATTATTATAAAATGGTTGTAGTAATAATAATAACATGATTAATGTATCATAATAAAGCCAATATATAATAGACCTATTCCGTCTGACGAGAAATCTCTCTCTCCCTCGTTTGTTGGATTCGTTTAAATTATAAAATATTCCATTTACCCCCGAGTATCCCGTGGAGCTATAGTTATTATAATATTTTGCTGTCCGATCGGTTTACATGTTAATAATAATTTTAAATTCGTCATGTAGAAATAATCTAAAAACGACCGATATTAGGCGTCGAATCTATAATTTTCAGCTTCACTGAGCAGCTGATTGGCGACAGTACACATTAGTGTAAAATCTAGAGGTTTTTTTTGTGGATGAATTTAGATAAACTTTAAAAAAATATTCATTTAACCTAAGCAGTCTCAAACGGGCTGAATTGTAAGAATATTTTTTTCAACTACACGTCTATATTTTAATGTAATAGTCAATTCGCAAACCGACCTTTTTACCGACATTATTTTGAAATAACAATATATTTTGTAGGTACTTAATATTTAGAAGAAAAATGATGGATTCAGAGTAGATAGCCTTTGTCAACAATACCTATTCGGTTCTTTAGACAACAATTACTATTGTAATCTTTTGTTAAGAACCAACTTAAAAATGTAATAATTATATTGATTAGGAAACAAGTCAAACGGTGTATACTACCTCAACGTTTAATCTATGACTTGCCACTTGAATTTAAAAAAATTGTATTTTGCAATTTGTTATTAAACGTGCGAGGATGGTATCAAAAAATGCATAAAAATGGACTGATTTAGTTTATGCTGTAACTTTTAGGGATGATTTTAATTTAAAATATGTTGTATTTTATAATTTAAATCACTAAATCGCATCATAACGTCCTATTTCCAACAATTAGTACTTACACAATTCATTATTATCTTTAATGGCACTTACTTTTTGTCTTGCTTGACGCACAAGGCTTTAAGTTCTTGATTTAGATGTTATACATTTTTGTAAGTATGAAAATAGGAAAAGTAGTTTTCGGGGTTGAGTTGATAAGTGATAACACTGACCATCAACACTTTTGGCGCAGTTTACTATCAATAAACACAAAGCTAAATGGTGGTCGCAAAACCCCAAGTGGCATTTTTTTTTGAAGTTAAATAATACACTCTTACTGTTTTGTCGATAATTGGTATATTATGTTTTAATTAATTAAGTCGATTTCGTATTATAATAAACGTCGGTGTATGGGGATATATGGACGGCCCCTTAGAATAATTAGTGTTGACAACACAACATACACCAACGCCATGACACTTTCTGTTATCAAATATTGCTGACTCGTTTATGGCTAACTTCACACACGTTAATTAATTGTATAAATTAATTAAATATTAAACTTTCAAAAAAAGGTTCTGTAGATTTTAGAACAACTGGAAATAGTACACTCAATTGCCGATTTTTAAATTCAATTTAACACGAGAAATAGTACGTTTTGATAAAATTTGACTACACTATTCGATTACTCGTCTATTTTCCAATAAGAAATTATGTATAACTCAATTTATGCATTTTTGGAGATAGTAGGCACGTTTTGAAATGTCGCCCCTCAATTTTGGAAAACAAAATAATATGCATTCTATATTATTTCTAAAAGTCCATACAAGAAATTTGTTTAACATTTAAGTAACCCTCACTTCCTTGAAAAATTACATATTTATAACTAAAATAAGATTTTCCAGATTATTTAGGACAGAATTTAAAACTAGGACTATATTTTACATTATTATAATATGAAGGGCACAGGGGAAAAACGGTAGTAGTTACAACAATTTGTGTCTAATTGTACATTAAAATAAAGCATGCAGTCTATCCTTTGCTAGCTGTTTCCCCCTTTTTCCAATCATAAAGCTTTTAAGACAACTGTCAATCCATCCACCAGATGGCCTACAAGTCATATTGTATCTTGCTTCATCCTTTAACCGGTCATCGACAAATTAAAAATCCCTTCAGTTCTAACGTACCGCTTGACTCGGCTAACTTACTCGCTTGACCGTCCGATACACTTGACGTAAGATTTTCTCAATTTTTTTGTAAATGTAACTTGTTATATTACCTATATAAAATATATTTCCATAAACAATCTGATGATGTAATTACTGTAAATAGTTTTGTAGATACACTCTAGGAGTATTAACTCTGCTTCATTTCCATACGTTAAAATAAACGAGAGCAATGAACGCACAGATAGCTCAGAAAGCCGAAATGATACATTTTTTATTGATTGAGTATAACATAATATCATTTAATAATTAAAAAAATAAAATGTACAATATACAACCGGGTTCTCTCGGCTAGTGATTTATAAAAAGCGAATATATTTTTAGAAAAAATAATATCTATAGCAGTCTTCACAGTTTAAATTCACAGTTAGGTAATTGAAAAATAATTTACGCTAAGAGTAATAATTTTAATAATTTGAAAAAAAAATTATAATTATTTCAAATAAATTAAAATATCGTAATAACGAATTGTACTAGATGTTAACTCGACAAATCGTAACATTAATAGTTTACTGCGCAAAACATTCAAACGACCCTAATATATTATAATTGATGTTACATTTTGGTAATAATAATATTAAAAGATGAAATGTACAAACAAGTTATTGTAAAACTGAATATCACTGGAACTGGTTTTGGTGAAAATATTACTTATGTAAACTTACGTAAGCATGCGATTATTGTAACATATAATTTTTAGGAAAATTTTTGTTCAGTACAAAATTCTCGGTCGACAATAATTAAAAATAAAAATTGACTACAAAAATAATAATTTACTATAGTTAAACCACCTATAAAACTATATATATATATATATATATATAAGTATTTTATGTAAATAATTAGTAAAATAGAGCAGCTTCATTTTGTTTTTTTTGTTCTGTTTATCGTCGTGCTTGACCATGCCTTGCTGTTGTATACATTGTTGTAAAATTACCTATTAAATATTCCATTAAAATAAAAATAAAATACAAATGTATAAATTAAATTCAACTAAACCGAGACGGTTTTTGGTTATAAGCACAGTAAAGCATTTATGCTAAACCGTCGATTAGTAATTAGACTTATTGCAAATAATATGGTGTAAGTTATAAAATAATAACACAACTAAATAAACTAAATTCACATTAAGCGGATCACAGATAGCGGGCAGTTATAAAAAAACAAAACAATTTTCTAAGTTTCGGTTTTAATAAATTAACATTAAATAAATTAACTTTTAATAATTTTGTAGTAGGAACACTCTATTACAAATTTAAGTGTTTGGTAATTGAAAAGAATATGTTATTTTACTGTTTGTATGTTATAAGAGTTAGTGGATCTTTCTTGTAGTACATAATTCATTGCTCGAGTTCATTATAAATAGTACATAACGATTGCATAAGTAACCGATCGATGAATTTTAGAACTTGGTTTATAAAAAAAATGTAAAATAAATTTAGGCAAATATCGAAATAAATAAAAAACAATATATATTTTAACATAAATTACTGGACATTTTTAAAGATAAATAAAACTCTTTGACAGTCAACCATTAGCTATAAACAACAAAGTATTAAAATAAAATTACAAAATTTAACATTTAGTAGTAAATAACAAGATATGGAATTAGACTTTTGTTTCTGTAGCGAGATAGCACGATAAGCAGTCAGATATCCATTCAGAATAAATAGGTAATAAAACGACTGTGAAAAATGGACGACGCACAATTTAATGTATTGTCTTACTTAGATGAAATAATTCAAGTTACGAATGAATATTATAATTATTATCGTTACATTGTCGGTCTGATCAAACTGCACCGATTGAAGCAAATAATTTTTTAGTATCCCTGTATAATACGGGAATATAAATAAAACATTTGTTAGTGAACAAAAAATTAACATTCGATCACACGAGGACAGTATTGAAAATTCCAAACGGCAATAAATGTGTAACATACATTGTTGCATACACAACGTGTCGTCACACAATTTGGAATGAACAAACTGCTCTCACGAAGCCAGCGAGTACAACTTACTGCGTTAACTTGACGTCCAATTGCTTTTTAACGCTATCCAAATAGTCATTGGTGTTCAAATACATCCCTTCTTTAACGTTTTTCAAACCGTGTATACACCCGGCGAGATCTTTGGTCATGTTTCCTGCGTCGACGCTCTCAATACACGCCTCTTCCAGTGTATCGCAAAATCTGTAGTAGTTACAAAAGAACATAATTCGTTAACGGTGCGAATCAACCAAGCACACGGCAGACAATACTCGATACGTATTGTGTTTACTACATACTTGGTCAGGTCTGGTGTATTATCGAGCTTAGCCCTATGCTTAAGGCCTCTAGTCCAAGCGTAAATGGAAGCTATCGGATTGGTAGACGTTTGTTCGCCCTTTTGATGTTGCCTACGGGTAAACACAATAAGATATTTGTTGTCGTCATAATAACACGTTGATGATTACTATAATACGTGTACCGACATTTGACGACATGCCACACTTTCATAAATAGCGATTTAATTAAATTTTATACGTAATCATTACCGATAGTGCCTGGTGACTGTTCCGTGAGCCGCTTCCGATTCCAAAGTCTTACCGTCGGGACAGACCAAAACCGAAGTCATAAGACCCAAAGAACCTGAACGTAAAGTAATATATTATAACATATTGTCACAAAATAGCTGTTAATGACAAACACAATTTTTTAATTTTTTTTATTAAAATCATTATATCTTACCATATCCTTGAGCGACTATGTCCGACATCACATCTCCGTCGTAATTTTTACAAGCCCAAACAAAACCACCTTCACTTTTTAAGGCTTGCGCTACCATATCGTCGATCAGACGGTGTTCGTACCAAATTTTGGCATTTTCAAACTGAGCTTTGTAGTTGCTGAAAAATTTAAGAATTCGTTTTCGATTCAATAAAAAAAAAACTATAAAAAAAAAACACTTACCCTTCATAGATATCTTGAAATATATCTTTAAATTTTCCATCGTATTTTTTAAGAATCGTGTTTTTTGTAGACAAATAGAGAGGCCATTTTTTAATCAAAGCCACCTGAAAAAAAGTTGTATTTTAACTTTTTTTTTTTTTTTTTTTTTACTATCTGTACCAACTTGAAAACTGGAATGAGCAAATGATGCAATAGAGTCGTCCAAATTGTACATAGCCAATCCAATGCCGGGCGATTTAAAGTCGAATACTTTCAGTTTTTCTACTTTGCCGTTATGATCGGTGAAAACTAACTCTAACTAAAAAAAAAACAAGTGAAACCATACAATTAATTAAAATACTCATTAACTTGTCATGTGTGATTTGAAAAAAAAATTACCAAGCCCGGTCTAGGCACTATATAATCAGTCGCTTTATATTGATCGCCGTGAGCGTGTCTGCCGATGATTATGGGTTTCGTCCATCCGGGCACCAATCTTGGTACGGTTTTGCACAAAATTGGTTCTCTAAACACGGTGCCGCCGAGAATGTTACGTAACGTACCATTTGGACTTAGCCACATTTTCTTCAATTTAAATTCTAGAACGTAAAAACGAAACGACAAAAAATTATATTATTACTATTATTAGTATAACGCTGTTTAATTTGCCAAAGTCAAAAGTATATTTTACATGCCTTCAACTCGAGCTTCGTCCGGTGTAATTGTTGCACATTTAATACCTACATTGTGCTTAAGTGTGGCATTAGCTGCATCGATAGTCACTTGATCGTTTGTTGCATCTCTATGGGGCAACCCTAGGTCGTAATACAAACAGTCTACCTATTCATGACGGTAAGTATATTACAAAATAAATACGTTCAAAACTTGGTTACAACGGTATTTCTCGAGGTACCTTAACGTAAGGGAAGATGAGCGTTTCTTTTATTTTTTCCCATATAATTCTTGTCATTTCATCTCCATCCATTTCGACCACTGGATTCACAGCCACAATTCTTTTCGATGAAGATCCATCTGAAAATATATATACAAATATTATTACTAATTTACATGAGTTACAAATTAAACTAATTTTCTCGGTTATATTTGAAAATTGTACAAAAATGTATTATTACTTGTAATCTACATAGTATTATAGACAAACATTTCTATGTACTGTATAACAGCCTATATTAGAAGCCTATCTTATACTTTTACTCTTCGATTAGAAGTGACTAACCGTGTAAACAATACTGATAGTAGTAATGAAGAAATTAAAGAGAAAAAAAATCAACTAACAAAAATATTGCATTTTTAACCTTCGATTCGATCACTTTCAGTTGTAATAAAATAATATAAACCTGTGACCTCCCCGGCTCAATAGGCTCCGTCCCCACAGTACTGACTTTTATATATTTGAAACCGTCAATTGGTCGATTTGATTATTCACATTAATTGTTAATCTTAAATTGTTTAGCAAAAATTTACCAAACAGTTATTTCAGTTTTGAACTAGGGTATCATTCGGTATATATAATACATCAAGTCCACAATTAAAAACAAAAATAACTATAGATGATAAATAAACTTTCATGTCAACTTAATAGTTTAAAATTGTTTTTATTTTTATTATAAACCAGATGATACATAGGACACAAATTTTCTATTAAAATAATTGCAATTTTGTAATTTTTCTTTTTGAAAACATGTTTGTTTATGTTATTTTACAATATCATGAAATTACCTTCTAAGTAAATATTACAAAAGTCAAGTAGATAAGGTTAATTATTAAAATATTATTTAAATGTATTAATAAGAAGGAATACTAATTGCAAAATGAGAACCCGTTACTTTACAGTTGATAACACATTAAAAGACTATAAACACAACTTATTATTAATATTAGTAGTATCATGTATATGGTTATTTATTATTCCTTTTTTTAAAAACAAAATTCCATGTAAACATACTTTGTTATACGTATGATTGTGCTATTTGTTTGCCGATGCTTCATTCAAACATCCAAAGTATCAAATTCAAACCGATTATTACATGATTATATTTTATTGCATACTAGTATTTTAATTGGATTGTAAATATCTTCCAATACACCTATAGAGATTACGTAACATACAGATAAGATAGTATTTCTTGATTCTATTGTTGAAAGTAGCAGATAGATACAAACGGGAATTAAAGGTACGTGGGGGGTACACCTCATTTCTATTTTTAAGATTTACCCAATTTTGAACCAACAAATCAATAACATTTAGTTAAAATCTAGTCAACTTGGTCAACGTGTACTTAACGTGTTTGGCATGTTTATTTATATAATAATAATAATTATGATAAGGATTTTACTTCAGAATAACGTTCAATGGAAAACTCAAATTAACTAAACAATTTTGATTAATACACAAAATAATTGTAGACTTAAGGTAATAAGGTAATACCTATTACTAAAAGTTTAGTTAACTCAAACTTAAAACTTCTTAAAACCGCCTACCAATATAGTATTTTAAACTAAGTGGAAATCAATGCAATATAATGTGAAAAAATGAGTAACTAATGACATTAAAATTGAACAGTAGCTTAACCAAAGGTTTAAGAATAGATGGCTTTTCAAAATAATTATTTCAAAAAATAATAATATATCCTTAGATATTTTATAAAAAGTATGAACAAATATTTTCTTCAAAACATTTTTATCCTTCCAAGCATAAATATTATAATAACTGTCAAATTTCATAAAATACATTGGTAGATACAATAAATGTTGGCAATGAAAGAGCCATCATTGATTTAAGGAGTTAAAGATATACAAATCTTAACCAACCAATACTTTAAACAAAGGTGCTAGAATGATTTTAATAGTTAAACTTTCGGATACGATAAGAGAGAGAACTGAGAAGATTACCATACACAAGATTTAACAATTGAACACTAAAAGGGATGGATTTAAAAAAATTAATTTCTTCAGTAACAATATGAAATTTGATTCCTGTTAAGAAATTATTTTGTTCACTGCCAATAGGTTAAGGGGGACGACCAGTTATCAAAGCAACTCCGGTCAATAATATATATTTTACTCTCAAACTAAAAAAAAAAAATAACTCATACGACAGTATGGTATTTCTTGAAAATCAAATCTATTCCAACATAAGAATAATACATTTGTTTTTATTTTTCCTTCGACTTATATCATCGGAAACAAATAAAATTCACCGCTACGAAACAGCAGGTCGTCCAACTTAAGTGGGTATGGATACGCCCTAACTAGATCTTTTCGACATAGTATTTGATAATTTGGTAAACAGAATTATATTTTATAAAATAAAAAGTGTACGAGGCATGATCTCTTGATGGAATTTTTTATTTTTTTACTTACAGTTGCGACTCGACGCTATTGTCGACTTGGCCAGTCCGGATGTCAATTTCAGCAACTTCTTGGCCATGACGACGGTGTGCTTTCTAGTATAATATATTTTAGAATGTAGAAATGGCCAACAAGTAACGGACTTCAACCGGCGAGAGGAGTACTTGTCATAATGATTAATGAAGTTCAGACTTCAGGTAGACGACGGTCGACGAGCGATTAATAATGATAAGAGCGGTACGATAACGTTACGGGGCCAGTGTTACCAACAACAAGGCAAAAATTACCGTACACAAAATACGGTAATAGTCTTGGAGATAATATTATATTTTCTTTTTGTAGGTCTATGTGTATAGTCATAGGTTATAACAACACAAATTCATTTTATACATATTAACACATTTTATTTTTTATACAAGTTTAAAGTACAACATCACACAGTCACAAATACAACATAATTAAACAATTGAAAATGTTAAATACAAATCATAAAAACACAAGATATTATTTATAGTACAGGGTATACAACAAGGTTGGCATTCAAAATATTAAATACAAATCATAAAAAATATTATTTATAGCACGAGCCATTATACAAAGTTAACATGGGTATAAGAAAATAAAGACACACCAATGTCGACCCGGGAATACTTAAGTTCAACTTAATATGTAGTATCAAGTTAATCTTAAGTCCTAGTCTGTAGGACTAGGACATCCGGATATCGACTTCTTGGGCGGCCACGTAACAGACTGTGGTGGACTTATACACCAATGTCGACCCGGGAACACTTAAGTTCAACTCAATACAACAGACTAGGACATCCGGATATCGACAGCTTGGGCGGCCACGTAACAGACTATGGTGGACTTATACATCTAAGTGGAAAACAATATAACGTTGGTAGACCCTATAAAATAGGGTACTACCTCAATAGTACAACTCATAGTAACCTACTATGGAATTTATTTCGCCTTATCGCCGGACTTTGCAGCAGCATTCCGCTTGCGACATATCTTTGACAAAGCGTCGACTTCTTTATGAAGTGTTTGGACTTTACTCGTCAACATTTCCACATGCCTATTGTAGCCTTTTTTATCAGAGTCCATCTTTTTGCGCAGCTCAGTTTCGGCGGCGAAACGTTTTTCTCTCAGATCAAAAATCTATCAACAAAAAAAAAATTCAGGGTATTTCACAAAAGAATCTCCCTCGGTCGTTCGAGCCCTACCGGAGCGCTGTAAATTTCTACTTACCAATTTGTCTTTGGTCAAAATTTGCGCATCTTTTTGCTTTGATGACTGTTGCATCTTAGCTAATTGTTCTCTGAGCTCAGTAATGATAGCCGTGCAAGAAGCATGTGGGTCGACGGTTTTATGCATTTTAAACGGCGGCGGAAGCGAATAATCCGGTACACCATCGTCGTCGGATCTGCAAACATATGAGAAAAACCAAATAATTTTTTTTCATAATTTTCAGAGTTAATCATCAACCGACCTTCCACGTTTTCCGGACAACGCTGGCTTCGCTTCAGCGAGGTGTCCCTCGAAAGACTTGATGTCACTCATTTTTGTTATAGGTAAAAATGAAAAAAACAAAGAATTAACAATTTATATATTATGCGAATAAATTATGATATGTGAAAACACAACCAAGACTAACTATGTTGCTTAATGAAATAAACCGTGGTTTCTATGATACCGGCGCCTTGGTGATCCGAATAATGACAATAATTATAAATATATACAAAATATACATCTAATCGTAGGTCTTTGGATATTTCACACAAACTAGTTAAATATAGTACTATTTTATGAAATGTATCGACTAATTCCATACCTCTAATCATAGGAGAATTTCGAATAGTACACATTAAAAAGTATTTTGTTGTCTAAATATTCTACTTGGCGTTGCATCTGGGCCAGGACACATCATGTTTTAAAACTTAAGCGGTTTAGAGCTTCTGAAAAAAAAACTATTTCAACAGCATTGGACCAAAGCGATTATAAACTAAATATTATGGGAGATTATAATATCACCTAATAATAAAAAAATTAAAATTTACATGAGTGCATGAGATTGCCAATGACATAAAAATGATTATTATATACAGCAGAAACATTTTATTTAGTTCATAACCTCTCAGTTCAGCAACAATGCTCTTTTATTTGTATTATGACTTGACACTTGGCCAGTTTATTTATTACTTTATTCATTGGAATATCGATTAAGGAATAAAATTAGCAAAATTTAATTAAAAAACTTACCTCCATCAACACCTGAAACGTGACTAGTAATTTTTTAAATATATAAATACTTCTATGAAACTTTTGTGTGTATATTTTTTTTAAATTCCTCAATTTCATTACTTTACCTTATAAAACAAAAATACTACATTTTACTGTTATTGTCTTTGTTGTTTTTTTACACGAATAAATAGGTAGCAAAGATGAGTATCAGTGATCTCTGGATCCAGAGTGACGTACAATCTCAATAACGACTTCAGCCAAGTTACACTTAGCCTAAGTAACAGCATGTTATCTTGATTTACAAATCGATCAAGTAATGCGCCAGTGTGTGTATAAATAAACACGGTTACTATATTTAACCCTTTTTTTTATGACTAAAGTGGTACACTCTGTAACCGTACAAAGTATAACATCTAAATTATTCCATTTGAACGGCGCAGTTTTTAGTGTTAAACACTACACACAGATCGAAATCTAATGTCTAATTGACTTTTAAATTGACTCGGTAAGTAAATAAATCAAACATGGCCACACCGTATGATAATAGTTCTATGAATACACCTCAAGACATTCGCTGACTTATATACAACACCACTAATATTTCGGTTCAGCCAAATTACATAGAAACAACTTTTAAAAAAGTCAATTATTACCAGCAACTATTAAAATTTCGACATTATTTTAATTATTTTTAAAAATTATTAAAAATTTGTTTTGACCATTTATAAACAGTGTAAGCAAGCACACACATTTTTTGGGAGACTAATCAGCCAAACTCCATGTGGTGTCTCCTGGATAACGCTAATAGACTGAAGGGACTCAACTCAAACAACCAAAAAATATTTAGTATTTATTAAGTATTTATATATTTAAAAAATTACTAGTCACGTTTCAGGTGTTGATGGAGGTAAGTTTTTTAATTACATTTTGCTAATTTTATTCCTTAATCGATATTCCAATGAATAAAGTAATAAATAAACTGGCCAAGTGTCAAGTCCTAATACAAATAAAAGAGCAGTGTTGCTGAACTGAGAGGTTATGAACTAAATAAAATGTTTCTGCTGTATATAATAATCATTTTTATGTCATTGGCAATCTCATGCACTCATGTAAATTTTAAATTTTTTATTATTAGGTGATATTATAATCTCCCATAATATTTAGTTTATAATCGCTTTGGTCCAATGCTGTTGAAATAGTTTTTTTTCAGAAGCTCTAAACCGCTTAAGTTTTAAAACATGATGTGTCCTGGCCCAGATGCAACGCCAAGTATAATATTTAGACAACAAAATACTTTTTAATATGTACTATTCGAAATTCTCCTATGATTAGAGGTATGGAATTAGTCGATACATTTCATAAAATAGTACTCTATTTAACTAGTTTGTGTGAAATATCCAAAGACCTACGATTAGATGTATATTTTGTATATATTTATAATTATTGTCATTATTCGGATCGCCAAGGCGCCGGTATCATAGAAACCACGGTTTATTTCATTAAGCAACATAGTTAGTCTTGGTTGTGTTTTCACATATCATAATTTATTCGCATAATATATAAATTGTTTATTCTTTGTTTTTTCATTTTTACCTATAACAAAAATGAGTGACATCAAGTCTTTCGAGGGACACCTCGCCGAAAAGAAGCCAGCGTTGTCCGGAAAACGTGGAAGGTCGGTTGATGATTAACTCTGAAAATTATGAAAAAAAATTATTTGGTTTTTCTCATATGTTTGCAGATCCGACGACGATGGTGTACCGGATTTTTCGCTTCCGCCGCCGTTTAAAATGCAAAAAACCGAAGACCCGCATGCTTCTTGCACGGCTATCATTGCTGAACTCAGAGAACAAATAGCTAAGATGCAACAAACATCGAAGCAAAAAGATGCGCAAATTTTGATGAAAGATAAATTGGTAAGTAGAAATGTACACCGGCTCCGGTAGGGCTCGAACGAACGAGGGAGATTCCATCCTGAATTTTTGGTGAATTTTTTTTTCTTTGATAGATTTTCGATCTGAAAGCAAAACGTTTCGCCGCCGAAACTGAGCTTCGCAAAAAGATGGACTCCGATAATAAAGTTTATAACAGGAACGCGGAAATGTTAACGAATAAAGTCCAAACACTACAAAAAGAAGTCGACGCTTTGACCAAAACCAATCGCAAACTGATTGCAAAGTGCGGCGGCAAGGCGAAATGAATTCCATATGGGTAGCTACTATCAACTTTATATTTGTTTACGGCGTGGTGGTAAACGAGTACTATTTGGTAACCATGTATTTATTTTGTAGTGATATTTATATATATTAATATGTAAATATCGTAAAAAGGATTACACATTGAATATAAATTCAATGTGTTTAAATTTTTCTTGTACCCATGTTAACCTTGTATAATATCTTGTGCTATAAATAATTTTGTGTTTTTATGTTTTGTATATAATTATTTTCAATTGTTTTATTTGTATTTAATATTTTGAATGTCAACCTTGTATAATATCTTGTGCTTAAAATAATATCTTGTGTTTTTATGATTTGTATTTAATATATTCAATTGTTTAATTATGTTGTATTTGTGACTGTGTGATGTTGTACTTTAAACTTTGTTAAAATGTAAAATTTGTTAATATGTGTTAAATGAATTTGTATTGTTATAACCTATCTAATATTGTCATGCTGTGTAAAAAAATAAATTATGTGATTTCAAAATGAAAGTTATTTTTCGGTCGTTATTAGGTATCTTAGGAGAATAAGTATAGATGATTTTTTTTTTTAAATAATCGATGAAATTTTTTGATAATAGTATATTTCCGCCGCGCCGGTCCCGTGTAACTATAGGTGTAGGTATGTACCTACATAACTCTATGAGTGTGTTGCATTCTTGCAAAAAAAAAAAATCCAAGAAAATATACAAATTGTTTTTGTATAATATTTTACTGACGACCACGAAGCAGTGCTGTGTAATTGTAAATTATGGCATCTCATTGTTACATATCAAACGTGTCGCAAGTACAACTCACTGTTTACACCGAGTGGAACACAGGCATTTATCCGAAGGTTGTTGAGAAAATTAATTAGAGAAGGAAACCACACCGTCAACACGAGGGGCGATCATAGGATTTTTTTTTTTAAACTACTCACCGCTTGTGTGTGACGATCATAAATTGAAGACATTTAAAAAAAAGAAACACAAAAACACTAATAGTCGGGCTTTGTGTGGAAATACGTCTTATGGTTGTACGAATCGCACGATTTACGGTAGCACGTGTTAACTTTTCTCGATTAGCCGTATCGCCACGGGTTAATTACACACAATGTTAGAACAATGGACCGGAAGGAGTTTTGTGTGTTTAAACACAATATTAAATGACCGTCGATCGTCGTACAGTAGCAGCAGCAACGGTTACAACTTGTAACAATTGAAAATAATTTAATTGGCATAGCCATAAAATTTGCAAATAAAAAATTATTATTTTTGACTTCAGGCCTTTCGAAGGAGTCCTTAAAAAGAGGCGTAGTGCTTTGCCACAGACTGTAAGCCGGATGTGATTTTATTTACAAGACTATATTTCTTTTTTTAAAAATACATCATCATCTATGAGCGCCAAACCCAGAAACAAAAATCAGCTAGTACTCTTAGACTTTGAACAGAGTAAACGATCTTATACTAAAAGTCTTACACGCCAAAGTTTTTCTATCAATAGGTTGTACTCTGTTGTTTATTTAAAATGCATAAAAGTATGGAGTAGTATGTGTATAGGCTCGTGAGGGTACAGGCCATGGCCACGAGCCAAAGAAGCAAGCAACGGTACCCGGACATGCCCGTCGACCGAGGATTTTATTATTCCGGTTTCTAACGTATCCTTGTGGCTTGCACCTTCTACCCCTCCACCCATACCTGTTCAATTTACTGTAAGTATGTATTTGATTCTACTTAATATTATTGCATTATTTTCTTGTTAATCATTTTGATCATTAACATATTAATGTTATTGTAATAATTATTTTTTTTTTCAAAAACTATTTTCTATAAGTACGTTAATGATTATTACTTATTTGTGTATTAATAAATAGAACAAATATAAATTATTTCCAAAAAATAAGTAAACATAATTTGTTTTATAAGAATTTAAATATAATAGCATCTATCCGTTCCTTTTGGAACGAATTCCTTCTCAACACTGGTATAGTGTACACATTACTTTGTCATCATTGATCATATTATTGTATTTTTTACCGGAAGTTCACTCGAGTCAAAGAATAAGGCTAAGGTGTAAGACCTTGAACTATTTGAAAAACGTTCGTCGGTAAATATTATCAAACACTATTTATGTAAATAATATAACCTTCGGTAAGATGTCAGTCTAGCCGATAACAAACTCAAAGTCTACTTGACACAATTTCATAAAATAATATTTGTATTGTTTATATCATACTAAAAACGAGTATAGTTTTGACGTATACGTTATCGTTTTAGTCCAAGTTGTAGATATTATTCAAGTTCATAACAATACTATTATGCGGCCTATGTATACACTAGTATTACTCTTGAGATAATTGTGATTTTGTAGTTTGTCTTTTTCGACCCATTTGAGTTTAAACAATTTTCCTATATTAGAAAATATTCAAACTTGTATCTTTTTCGATTTTTTCTAGAGCTCTATCTACTTTTAAAATGGTAACATAGGAATATTTTAGTTTTAGCAGGGGTAAAAACCAAAAATAAATGTAAACGGTTGAGATCTCATTGTATAAAAACATATTGTAAATTTACATTTTGTGACTTAATACCTACACTTTTGGAGAGCCTAGAATTTAATGTTTTAGATTAAATGATGTAGCGTTTCAAAATTTAAACTTTTAAAATATATTTTTATGAGACAGAAGTGTATCAGTTTATAATATTTTCTCTAAAAAGGAAAATTAAAATCGATTTTAAAGGAATTTTCTGAATTGCAAGTTGGTTTAAAAAAAAAAACCATTATTATGTTATTACTATAATAAAATAAAGTCCTTTTAAAATGTATAAAATCAATAATTAGGTTTTCTAGAATTTTCTCGAGAGAATTGCACAACAGCAGTCTGCTGATTTAGTCACGCGATTAAAAAGCGCACTACATGTTAATATTAATAGTTTTAAAATTACACAATATTTTTTTTTCTACATGTATATACTGTAGACTAGAATTTTGCATTTCTTACAAAGCGATTCGCTGTGATAATAATAAGAAACAAAATATTTTAAAGGTAACAGAGAGAGTGTTGTAAAATAAATTGGCATTTTTCTATTTATTATAAAAAATTATATTCTTCAGTCTGTACAATTAAACGTACATAAGTATAAAAAATATCTGAAAAAATATAAGAACGTCGGAAAATTAGAATTTAAACAAACAATTGTTTTTTTTTACTGATTATACAATAATAAAATATTTATTTATGCACAAAAAACATAGGGTAGTATCTGCTATTTTTATAAGTCTTAAAAATAAATGATAATAGTTATTGAAACTATTAACACATTGGCGCAACTTAAGGCCTAAGTTGGGAACCGGTTAGCCCCTAGTCCCCTAAAATATTTTTTAACCTTCCAATAAAAAAAAAAATGGTTTTTTTTTTTAATGTCATAATACCTACAAAAAAATGTATGCAAATATACGATTTTTATATAAAAAAAAAAATAATAATAATTACCGTTAGTCAACATTTGACTGTTATTAAAATACCAAGAAAAATAATTTATAATTTAATACTTTTAAAATGTTTTTGTAATAGACCATTGAGATTAGCTCAAACTTACTAACCAAATATTATTAATGGTGCCTGATGCGATAAAACGGTTTCAATGTAAGTGATTAAAAAAACAGGCCATATAGTGTTAATAAGGAAATCATACTTCATTTCAATAAACTGTATTTTATTTAATTTTTTACTAAAATGTTTATCACAAATTTGGCGAGGTCATAAAAGAGTATGTTTTAAAGTCGGTTGCGCCAATGAACTATGTACAACAATAATAAATACCTTACAGATATAATTTTGATCTTATCACACACATTACACATAAAAATATATATATATATATATATAAACGTTTTATAACGGAAGAATAAAAGTTAAAATATATTATGAATTTAATACAAGAAACAATTGATTAAAAATAAACAGTTAAATGATCGTCCCTTCTGGTTTCTTCGACTGGTGTGACACTGACGCTGGGATCAATTTCTCGCTGAAAAATGTTTTATTTATAATTAGTTGAAAAATGTATACACATATATTATTATATCTAGTCAGTTTGAAAATTAAGTAAACATTTAGTTTTCCAAATTACTAAAATTAATGCCAGACTATATTTCAAAGTTCAACGTTAAGCTAAACTGGCGAGAACGGTCATTATTGACTAATACTGGGGTTTGGGATATTATTGTGTTTGTTTTGCATCTCATTGAGTATTATAATCAATATTGGATTAGGGATAAGGAGCTATGTACTTAGGCAACATATACTGCCATGTAAATAAAAATGATTGGCTCCCAAAATATGCATATAACTGAATTGGCTGCTAATAACAAGTGGCTCTCAAAATATACATCACAGCGTTATGAAAGTTAAAAATAAATATTCCACAAAACTGTCAATGTCGAAAAATTTCATCATGGAAATTTAAAACATACATGTCTAATCAACACCAATGAACTAAGTGTTGTTACAAACATCTAACTTGAATAATTTGCTTATCACAATAGTAATTCATAAACAACAATGGATTAAAATGAAACAGTAACACATTTTGTATAAATGGCGATTTTAAACTGTTGAACGCTCATACTTTTATGTGAACTATTCAACCACAATTTATTTTTTAGATGTAATTTTCCAAATGTGGTCTTCCTCAATGTGTGTTGTATCACTTTGTCTAATCTGTTTCAACACAATTAAGCTTATCTACTAGCACGCATACTCGCTTATCGACATTATTGTAGTATTTGCCAATACAATTATTTAAATACATTTTAACACAGAGGTCTTTATCATAATGCACTAACAACTCTAATGTATAATATATCATTATGTTTGTTTAATATTAAATTGTCTACCTATTTCATTTGTTTTAGGCTTTGCTACTAAGGCAGGAGAATATTTTTTTATTTTAAGGTAAATCTTCCGTAACTGTTTTTTTTTATAATAAGTATACTTTAAGTCTAAATTTGGAAAAAACGGAGAAGTTGTCTTTAAGAAGACATGATGATGAGTTTAAACGTGTTTTGTATCCCTATCCCGTTTTCGGACCAATAGATATGTGTGAAGAGAATTGAGTCATCAACTTAAAAAAAAAATACTGTATTTGGTTAAGAGGATTAGAAGCGGGCGGTTTTTAAAGAGTTTTATATAGGCAATATTTAAGAAAAAAGTGGTTAGATTAATTTCTACTATGTCAACTAATGTTCAGGTTGATTTGTGTAAGCTCCAAAGTATGATTTTAAATTTATATAATTTTTTCTATTAGTAAAAGCCATTTTAGTTTCTTTGACTACTTTACTAGGTTATTTAAGAAACCGTTTATTATTTTTAAAAAATGCAGTATTTTGTAATTAAATAAATTAAATTTGAGATATTTTTAGTATTAAAAAACAGTTTTTTTTACATTATTTAGTGATTGTATCTGTTTTACATTGTACAAGTTATTGCTTGAGGTCATTATAAATTGTATATTATGATTTGAAACTAACGTCATGTTAAGTAATAGATAAAACAGATCAATTCCCTTATAAGGCGATCAGAACCTTTGTAAATTTAAAACTAGTTTGGACATTGCAATCAAATATGATGATAATAATAATAATACTATAGCGCGTTTCACCAAATTAGACTCGACTCTAGTGTGGGGGGCGGCTTAAAATAAAAAGGGCTGTTCAACGTGGATGATGATTCGACATTGACAGTACTGAAATTCAAATTTTAGGACACAATCAAGTCTCCATTGTCGGGAAACCCACTAATACACGGCCAAGCGGTTACTGTTGGTTCGGCGATACACCAAAATCAAAATCATGCAAGTACCGTCATATGAGCACAAGAATTACGATCGTCCCAGCTGAGTTTCTTCACTCGCTTAGGAATGGCTTCTGTGGGCCAGTGAGGCGTCCTGGAGAACCTGTTGACCGGGCTAGGTGTAGCCGTGGTGGTCGTGGTCGAAGAACCCGCCGGCGACCGACCACCGTTACCGCCCACTTTCGGTACTTGCGGCGGAGCTGGTGCTGGAAATTTATGACGAGTCCGAGGAATGGCTTGTTGCACAGTACCTGTCATCTTAGCTCGGCCGTTGGTCGAAGCGGTGCCCGGAAACATTCTGGTCGCTAAAAAACGTCAACGAGCACGTGAGAATATAATAATATATACTACTAGGTACATAAATCGAATAAATCTCAAATAGTGCACTTTATTCGCGGCAACGAAGTTGTGTGACAAGAGGACGCCTACAGGATTGAAAGGTAAACTGTATAGGACGGTAGTTAGGCCGGCAGTGTTGTACGAGTCAGAATTTTGGACAGTAGACAATAAAATGTAACAGAGAACGAGCGTAGCGGAGATGACAATGTAATGAGAACAAAAGTGGTCACGCTAAATTAAAGGAGTGTTTCAGTTATTGGAAAATGGCGAAGTGCACCATCTGGTTTTGTTTAGTCTGCGGTAAAATCAACATAATATTTATTTACAGTGCAATAATTACATATGGAATTGCACTAATCAAATCTTGAAATATTCCATTGAAAATCGGTAAAATGGGTTTAAAAAATGCTTAACCCTTAAAATAGTCTCCAACATATGTTCTAATATGCAAAATTATATTTTGTGCATTGGGACAATAAATATATGAAAGCCTAAAAATCCCCCCCCCCTCTCTCTCTCTATTTATATACAAATATGTATGTTATAAAAAAGTATCAAATGTTCTAAATTGTAACAACAAATCATAAGGAAATCATTTTAATTGAATAGGGACAACAACCTAATGTCACATAATGTTAACTATTATTATTGCTCATAATTTCTTTGGTAATTAATTTATTCGTAGTAACAGACTCTCATAAAATCAATACATATTTAATAAGAACAACAAAAAGTACGATATTTTACAGACATTTAAATGCAATATATTGTGAATTATGCAAAATATGGTCTAATCTCCAAAAAAAAAAAATGGCCAAATATGTAAAACATTTGTTTTCTACAAACTCTGTGATCGACAAATCGTCCACACTTTTAACCCCCGTTGAGCTGCACAAAGCAAGTAAATATAATATTATGTGAAAATCCGCTCTCCAGCCATGGTTGTTCTACCATCAATAAACTACCTATACTAACTTTTGACCGTGGCCGTGTACAGAGGATCGGTCGATTCTTCTTTGGGATTGAACAGAGGATTTTGCATTTTTGTGCCCACGCCCACCAATCGTTTTTCGTCGTATATCGGGTTGGTGCGTTTGAATCCTTCGAATTTGTTACGCACATCAAAGGTGGACGGTGGTCCGATTTTCGGTCGTTTGCTTGAAAACAAATAGTTAGCATTTAATTGTTATTATTCTAGTGCCACAATTGATCACGTTTCGGACTATCATTCTAAAACGGGTACCTCTTCTGGATGTGCACGATCAGAGCAATTATCACCAGACTCAGCACGCCCAAGATGATCCCAAACACCACCACGACAGTGTAACTATTGGCCGAAGACGTTCGGCCGGCCGCCCTGACCATAGTGTCCGGCAAGTGTACGATTACCGGAACCGAAGCCTGTGCAAAAGTGGTCTCTTAGATAGTGAATTCATAACGAATTGAGTTCAGTTATTACTTGTCTCGGAGGGATGCCGGTGTCCGTTGCCACGGCCACCAGGTGTGCCGTCGAAGTACCAAGGTCCGATATATCGCCCAAGACAATGTCCCCGGAATCCTCGATGGCGAACATTCTGTTTGAAAAGCAATTATTATTATCGTCAGAGTCAAACGAGGTGAACGAGGGGCAATAAATGAAAATAATATAATATGTTAGACTTGCCTCGATTCGGGACCACGCAAAGCCAAACTAACGCGATCCCCGCGGTCCCCGTCGGCTGCTTCGACTTTACCGATGACCGTACCGGGTAGTAGTTCGGACAGTGATATGTCTGGCACGTAAAACTCATACTGAGGGTACCGAAACCGAGGATCCCAGTCGTTTACGTTCAACACGGTGATGTTGACAAACGCAGATGTGTTCTACAACATATAACCGTTTTTTAAACGTTTCTTTCAGTTGTACGTCATAGTTCAAAATATTAAGCTTTCTTTCTTTCATCGTTTAGTAATAAACTACATGAAAAAAAACCTAGTTATTTTCTCCGCTACACAGAAAAAAATTGAATCATGGATAATATTATGATTTATCACTTATATCATCATTTATATCACGTATCTCATATCTCTAATCTCTTTCTTTACGATTTCTTTAGCTGACTAGAGAAGTGTTTCAAATAATGTTGTTTAATGTTTTATACAACATTTTTCTTATTGTGGTATTGTAATTATTTTTAATTCATTTTTATAAGATTATTCAATCTGTCCTCTATTGCTCTTTTAAATAAATGAATCTTAAAACTACGGAGCTCTTTAATTTTTTTGAAAAATTGTCAAATTAGTTCAAAATTTGTATGGAATATTTTTTAGACATAGTATTATCAACGACTTTAAAAAAAATACTATAAACCTTTCCCATAGAAAGGAATGAAACCCTTTTTTTATTTCGTTTTTTCCAGCAAATTTTAAGGGCTTAAGGTCTGAAAATTAAACAGAAGATAGATATAGTGTGGAGCAGTAGCATTTACAGTCTTTTTTTTTAAATCTGTAATCAAGCTTTTTTTTTATTAAGGAAGAACCACTCAAAAAAGGGTAAAACTACACTTTGACCACACTGTACTGGCTTATTTTGTATTGTCATTGAATTAAACATAAGCTATATCAAAAATAATAACAAACAAATGGGTTGTTTATCATTGCAGTGTATAGAATCTAATGTCCAACATATTCGTATTATCATTACAAATAAGATAAGTTCCCTGTAACCCTATCTTTGTACATACTTTAATCCGACATCATTTATTTATGAGCGAAAAAAAAAATAGTTGTCGAAACTACAACTAAATATTTTGTAGTCCTTTGTATGTTTCTTCGATTGTAACAGTTTATTTTCAATATAATTGCCATTGCCAAAAGACTCAATTCAATATCTCACCATAAAGCTATCGGTAGCAAAAACATAGAACACATAGTTGTCCATGGTTTCATAATCCAGCGTTTTTTTCAACGCGATATCACCGTTGACCGATATGGAGAACACGTCCGTATAATTGCTCAGCCAGTATTTCAGACGTTTGTCTTTTGGCTTGTTAGTGATCACAGTCATCAGGACACTATCCAGTGGAACGTTTTCCAACACGCCAGCCTGATAGTGATCCTGCAGGAATTGAAGTTCCCTGAGCGAAGTACCTGGCCGACTTATTGCAAGAGTGGCCAACGCGTACCGGTCGGCGTTATCAAACTGGGTAGCCTAAAGTAGATTATTTTAAGTTTAAATTGCATCACTAGTTAGGTGTACATAATATAGACTTGTATTGATATAATCTGAAAGTACCCGAATAACCATAGTGGCTGGCTGAAGCAAGTCATCTTCTGGAATGGCACGTTTGATGGTAACACTGCCCGAAACTCTGTCCAGTTCAAAGTATCGAGAATCTTGAGAATCTAAATTGAACAAATGTTTGATTTATTTAAAATATGCATAATGATAAATACTTATCGGATACACGTTGACTTACCAGAATTAAGGGTGTAAAATATGTTTGCGTTGATCCCGAGATCTTGGTCGTAAGCTGCGATTTCTCTGGGGAATACTCTGAGTTTTGTGCCCTGGATCAATAACGTTACACATTTAGTCACAACTAACCATGTTATTATAGGGTTTACTATAAAATGCTTGATTTAGCGTAGAATATTATGCTACCTTAACCGCGTGATCCGGTAGGGTGGCTGTGTATCTTTCGTCGTAAAACTTTGGGTTCTGATCGTCCGCATCGATGATGTTAACAAAGATAACCGTATCCGAATACTGAGGAGGATTGCCTTGGTCCTGAGAACAAACGACAACGCAGCAAAATTATAGTGGTCAAAATGTTTCGAAGCAAAGCAGAGTAGCAATTTACTTGAGCTCGAATTCCTATGGTGAAGTTGGAGAGCGTTTCATAGTCCAAAGCTTTTCTCAAAACCAACGTTCCTTCCAAACCATTCACGAACACAAAGTAATCCTGAAACATATTGTCGTGATGTGTTATCAAGTCACGGAAGTCTTGTCAACCAAAAATTAACTAATCTAAAACGGTATACATTGTATATCCTATTCGCCTAGTGTAGTCTAACAATCATTTTGAAGCTCTAGCCTAGGTTTGCTTACCTCGAGTTTTTTTCTAATTCCATTTACAAAAATTGGCTGCTTAAAATATAACAAATGCGCTTGTACATTTTCTATTGTTTTGTCTAATAATTAATATAATTAACCTGCTGTACCACAGCATATTAAGTAGATACATTCACTATAGCTGTTACTAACCGAATGGGGTCCTGGAAGAACAGTGTAATGAACAGTAGAAAATGGTCCAAGTTGATCAGCGTCAATTGCTTTGATTCCTTGTAGAACTCTAGTTCCCACCACAGTCACCTGCAATAGTATTTAATCATAGTCAATATCAATATTGTAATTTAATAATATTGACATTTCTTGTTTTTACCTCGGATATGTTGAGCACATAAGGGGCATTAACAAACACTGGCGCATTGTCGTTGGCATCAGTTACTCTGATGCTCACGGGGATTGCAAAATTCTAAGCAAAAAAAAAAAAACATAACCCATCATTTATTTTCCTTTTTACACATCAATGAGGTTCCTATTAGAATGTAATTTTACTAACCGGATCAGCGGTATGCTTTCGCTCACAGACAACGTTAACGTAAACAGAAGAAGGTCCTGATATGCCCTGCAATAAAATGTCAAGTTCGTTAAAACGTCAAGTCGTTAAAAACCCAGTAAAAATGTATCTCGTGATATGAGCATAATATACTATCCGTACTTCTTTGTCCAAAAGTTTTGTCAACGTTAGTTCTTTGGTGCCAGGTAAAATGGCAACTGGACTGTCGGACTCTTTAAGAGTCAATTGGACGTTCCCATTTTCCGACGGATCGCCATTTATCTTCAATATTCCTAGAATAGTATTATTGGCCTTATTAAATATTATCGGTTAATGTGATAATGATATTATTGAAAAAAAAATTAGCCTACCAATAATGGATCCAACTGGTACGTCTTCGGATACAAAAAAGCTCTCGGCCGACCCTCCATTTTCCAGGTAACAGCGGTTGTCCGCAACAACTGTAAATATAAACAGAACCTCGGTTAAATTACAGTAAATATGTCAAAACAAGGTCGACTAAAATTGGTCTTAGTCTTTTGCTTTGAGTACAATTTAATCGATTTAATTTTTTGCAATGATAGTCAAAACCGGTTCAACTATAAAAATGTAAAATGTCCCATCGGTTTTGTCATAAAAATTATAATATTAACATAACTAATATTCAATGTATCGCACATTGATAAGCTCATTAAAATGACTTATTATAATATTGAAACATTATACATGAAATAATCAATTTTCTTTTGTTATTTTAATGCAAATAACGGACAAAACCAATATTTTATCAATGGTTATCTTATCTCTTATCACTTATCACATCTCTTATCTCTAATCTCAAAGTGAAATTGTACATTTCTTGTATCCAGCCCGATAACATATCCATGTTAAACATTTTTTTTTTTTAGAATCATTTACTATGTTGGAAAAACTGACAGAAATACTGCACATACAACATGAATGTTTAACACTGGGTTTTTATACTTTACAAAATCAAAAAAACCTATAGGTAAGTGAAAAAAAAAACAATAAACAAAAAAAATCGATAATCACTGTTTTGATGTTTCGTTTATTTTCTTTGTTGCTCGATAAAAAACAATGAAATGGAAAATTCGGCTTTCGCCAACCGTAACATAAGCATGTAACAGATGGTGGTGTGTGTGTGTAGCGAACAGGTGGCTGTTGAGCAGCTCAAGTGTATCAGCTTCTACTGTATAGGCAAGTATTTTATGTTTGAAGTAACAGGAAATCCGTTTCGGATTTAACAGAACAAATCGCCACTGATGCACGCAAGATATTCCTCACGGTGTGTAACTTATAAAAATACCAACGTTTCTTGGTTTGGGTTTATGTTTTGGCGTGATATTAAAAAAAAAATAAAAATAAATGCCTCTTAAAATTTAATAAAAAAAAGGGTTGATTCGTATCGTTGATCCGCCACCGGAACGTTAGCTGTTGTCCTATAGCGAATGGACGGTATAAACTTTCACTCCCTTCATAAACTAAACAAATGTTTCTGAATCTTAATCAAACGTTTTGCCACAGAAATCAATTCCCGAAACAGTATCAATAAATCATAAAACCACAGGCCGGAAGAACGTTTCGGCCGCGATGTCCGACTGTTGATAAAAACTTTCTAAAACATAATTTGTTAGTTTAATTAGAAATCCAATTTATTTTCTACAAAGTAGTGCGTAGATATTATGATAATGCATAGGCACGTCTATTCTATTTAATATACAAATAAATATAATAATACGTAATATGTTTATGTGTGCAATTACAAGGAAAATAAAAATAACGATATTGCACAGTTCAAAATTCAATTATAAATGACTTGTGGTTTTCGCATCAAGACTGCTTTGAAATATTAGTATTATTATTTATGTTTTTATAGAACAACAACAGAGTAATACGTTTGATTGTCTCAGGCATATTGTACGTCAAACATTTTGCAACCAATTAAAAACACTTCACGAGCTCGACCTATGATCCTCCGAAGACACTACAAATTGACCAACCTCAGGTATTCAACACGGTAACCCTGTCCATCAAAATAGACCTCTTGACACGTTTTTCTATTTACAATTGTTTTTGATGTCATAACATTACAAGTTTAAATTCAATTTTCTAAAACTTACGAAGCTATACTCGTCAAGTTCTTTTGTGGGGTTAAGCGTAAACGCGATAAGATGAATTGCATTTAGATACAATATTAAAAATGATGGTACCCTAGAATTATATTTCATCAACCATTGATATCCAAGAATTTTCACCATCTACGGATCCAGCCTTTGGCTTTAACTGGAGGCTGTTGATGTGTAAGTAAATGCACAGTTAAATATTTTGAAATAATCGTTATCAATCGAGTACTACCTAATCGTGAGACAAACAAACTATAGCTATAAATGGCTGGCTATAAAATCATGATTTTCAAGCGCACCACTTATAGTACGTAGTAGATATTGGATGAAAAACGAAAATTGTATTTATTTTCTTCTCGTTCCAATTAGCTGGGCAACTCGAACGTCGCGACTCCTTAAGTAGATCACCGAGCAAATACACATCACCGTGAGAATCTTGAGACTCATCCAACACTCCGAGGGTGCTTGTTAATTCGTTAGCTTACTATCTATATTGCAAAAAAAAAAAAAAAAAAACCGTCGAATAATAGAGAAACCGTAAGGCAGCAATAGTCTCTTGTTGATGAACAATCGTGACCGACTACCGGTGATGTTATTATTATGTTAGCAGCTAGTGCATGCGCATAATATTATTCGACTGAGCATTAACTTTATCGTTTTTTCTTCTTCTGTACACACTTTTCACTTGATGCTGTACGGAGACTGGGGTAGGATAATTGCCAACATTTTTGACGTTTCGTCAAAGAGCTCAAGTCGTGACCGTCTTCGCCGTCAACTCATGCATAATTCACATTATTCGTTCGTTATGTGTTTTCCGCAATAGCGCCCACGTTATATTGGACATGACTGCGCATTGAACGCCAGGTCGGTGGAAAGTTTGATTAGGAAAATATTAACAAACAAAAAGCCAGTAGGGTCGAGGTATGTTGGGGAAAGGGAGCTCACATAAGCGTTGAAGTGAACTTTTACAAACATTTTCGGCCCAATAAAGTACTTTTCTAGTACTGTTTCTGATCTAAAGAGTTGCTACACGAAGAAATCGGTTCAGCGGTTTAGAATTGGGTCCAGACACAAAAAAAAAAAAAAACTAAAACAAATCATTGTAAAAACAATACCTTTTCAGCTACACGACGAAGCCAAAAAAAAAATGTATATAATAAAATAATTGTGGGGTGAAGTCTGCAGTAACAATTTTGTGGCGTTTTTGGTATTTTTTCGTTCATTCGTTGTTTTCAACACCAAAAATACATTTCTACAAACCTATCCATATATATTATATAGACCTTTTATAAGAAGTTAAACTTCCTACGCCTGATATTTACATATCATCATGGTCTATGTGGATGGTTTAATATAATAACACATCATTTTTGAAGTTTCTAGTGACGAATTTTCCAAAAAAATGATTTAAAAATAACTATACATTATTTACACATTGAAGCATGGACATCACATTTAACATTCTTCGTCCTTTTATTTTTTTTATCCACTGTTTACATTCTAATATGTTCAGTTTTTTTTAAAAAACCTCATGTAATATTTTATTTTATGGCATAAAACCGTTTGTTGATTAATCCGTGTAATGCCGCCACACTGGTAGGTACTTTTGTGTCTAGTGACTAGATAAAGATGAGATTTTCACGGTTAAATAAAAAATGAAAGAATGGGTACTACGGGAATAAAAAAAAACTTTGAGATTAACGGAATTCTCTTATTTCCCGGTTCTTTATACCACCAGTTGATAATAATTATAAACGTGGGTTGGAAAACGCGCAATACACGCACGTCTGCATATTGATATGAATATAGAAGTACAATAAAATAAAAAAAAAAAAGTTTTTGAATGATTTATATTGTTACACATGAGGAAAAAAAATTATGCGTTTAAAAAACTACAACAAAAATGGATGAGTTGACCGGACAATAGTTGGTTAAAAAAAAAATTGAATAATAATAGTTAAGGCAACCTATTATCTAAAAGTATTGCATAAGATATTTCCAACCAGGTTTAAGGTTTTCAATATTATGTTGATTTTTACTCAAGTTATGGTAGGATTGAAAATACTTTAATATTTCATGGGTACTTTTTTTACTTTGGACGCACCTCCCTCTAAGTATATTATAGCTGGCGTTTCCTTACAAATTTCAGTTGTTGTATTTTATTTTGTATAACTAAATAAGAAATCCAGGGTCAAGCTATGAATGCATAAAGTCATGGTTTCCCATGTCAACCCACCCCTGTTAGAAACGGAGATCATGTGGACGTTTTACTATTTTAGATATTTTAAATGAGGATAAACAGTCACGGTATTTTTTTTTCTCTTCACAATAAATGTCTTAAGTCATCTGGGTTGTTGTCAGGCGTTAAGCTTTCAAAGCTGGTGCGCGTGGGCAACGGACATACATATATAATACATGTTATGCAACCGTACAAAGAAATATCAACGATCATCTACTTTTCACTTTTGTGCAAAACTATCAGCCGACTAAAGCGTTGCATAATAATATTTTGGTTTGAAAATTTAACGAACAAAGCGCTGAAGATCTGTAGCAACGCAAAACGGCGCATTGGCCTATAACTCATGAATCACAATAGCCACTTCGCCTACATTGCGCCGTTTAATTTGACCGTATAAGTTTTCACTCGATAATGCCTTATTCTTTCTGTACCACAAGACACGAGCGGTCTAAAGACAAGTAGACACATCACGATTCGATCGATTAGCATCGCTGGCATATGACATCATTTGTATTGTTGTCGTCTGCTGCATCGAGTCCTGTTAATTCGATAAGACAACCATACCCCCCCCCCTCGCCTATATTATAAGAAAGTGATAGTTATCAAGTGATTTTATTCAATCACAAGTCATTGAAAAACGTGCAATACCTAGGTACCAAGTCATTTGATTTATTGACAGATGGAACAATACAAAAAATGAAATTACGATTTATTCATTACAGGCAAGTTATAGTATAAAACTATGTTACAATGACTATATTATTATTATTATAACCTAGCCTATACCTTATCTCTATACAGTTCGCTTTGCATAGAAACTAAAATTATAAATTTATTTGAATCAATCTACCTTCTATGGAAGTATATGTACAGTGTATTCTACATGTCGGTTCAACTAGTATCCCAACTATTTATTTAGTTATTTTAACTGTACACTTGTTGTGTTCCTATGTCACAATAATAGTTTTAGTTGGTCCAATTATTACACTTTATTTCCCATGTGTGCCCTTAAAATTTAAGTTATGTCAATTATTATGATACACAACAGCTGAGAAAACCACTCGTATACTATGATGGT